TTACAGATAAGTTTTGGTACATCTCCTCCACAGTCAACCAACATAACTCATATTAACTCAAGCAAGTACAGTAAAAGCTAAAATTCCCCTCTTGGATTTCTCAAACTGGAATATGTGACTCTTTGGACAGTTGCCAGGAGTTAACACTCCATTCAACCCATATATAAAGGTAAAGGTAAAAATTCCCCTCGCACATATGTCCTAGTCGTTCCTGACTCTAGGGGGCAGTGCTCATCTGTTTCAAAGCCGAAGAGCCAGCGCTGTCCGAAGACGTCTCCGTGGTCATGTGGCCGGCATGACTCAACACAGAAGGCGCACGGAACGCTGTTCCCTTCCCACCAAAGGTGGCTCCTATTTTTCTACTTGCATTTTTTACATGCTTTCAAACTAGGTTGGCAGAAGCTGGGACAAGTCACGGGAGCTCCCTCCGTTACGCGGCGCTAGGGATTCGAACCACTGAACTACCGCCCTTTCTGATCGACAAGCTCAATGTCTTAGCCACTGAGCCACCGCGTCCCTCACAAGCCAGACATGCAGACATGCAAATTGGTGCCCGGTGCCATGTATCCCTTGAGTATTTGGGTTACCCTTGACATTTGAGCCCAAAATTTCCGTTGCCTACATTTGTTGAGCCAAGTTCAAACCACTTTACCACCTTTCTTGCCCACGGTTGTTAAGCGAATCACTGCAAGGGTTAAGTTAATAACACCGTCGCGGAATGAAATCTGGCTTCCCCGTTTGACTTGGTTCCTCAGAAGGTCACCAAAGGGGGAATCACATGACCCCCGGGGGCCCCTGCAACCGTCATAAATGTGAGTCGGTTGCCACACGTCTGAATTTTGATTCTCATGGACGCTGTTGGTAAGAAAAACAGCCAACCCCCCCTTTTTTTACAGTGCCGTCGTAACTCTGAACAGCCAGTAAATGAACTGTTGTGAGTTGAGAACGACTACAGTCAACAATTCAATCACATGAATTAGAGGCTAGGAGCCAATAACTTTCCACTCCATATGAGGGACAACAAGGAAATGAAAGAGGAGAATGTGAAAAAGTGAAGCGCAGAGTCACTGCAATAACTATTCCGATCCACCTAGAAGTAGAAAACTGGCTTTTTTTAAAAATTCAAATCCTGTCCCTCTTGTAGTACCGGGAACAGATCTTCACTCTGGAGACCCGATTCTAAGCCTGGCCACTGACCCTGGGTGCCAGCTCTCTTTTTACAAACACCCCAAACAGATCTCTTTATTGTCCTCTTCCCTGAAACCTCTAAACCTGGTTGACTTGTCAGAGTGCATTTCACACATTCCTGTTCCCGAGCCTGAAGGATACGCCTAGTTCCCTCGCTGCTAAAGGAACAGAAAAACTGCTGGTACAGTCTGGTGCTGTTCCCCCTTGTTGTTGCGTTACTACAGAGCTCACAGCCGGAGCCGAGACACGGAGGATCGCAGCATGAAGTGAACTCAGGTGGGTCCAAAATTGTCTTTGAGTTCCTTGACTTACTCAGGCGTTTCGGGTAAAGTTTAATCCAAGCAAGGAAATAGATTGCATTGAATGTCAACCTCTTAAGCAAAGTTACGGGGTGGTGTAACGTATTTGGTGGAGAGCTACAACGTCTGGAATCAGTTGACTGAGATGTAGTAGTTTAGCAAGGTTCTCTGAATTATGCTTTCCGACGAATGGTATTGTTGACGTTTTAAAAACGGGTGTACTCCTAAACTACTACTTGTGTATCTCTTGGGCATCCTACTCTAATCCGATCGTGTGAATCTTGGTTCATAATCGAGTATTTTCAAACAGGTTGAAGTCCACCTATCTTTTATTCCCCATCGGGAAGAAATATTAACACCGTAGAGGGAGACAGTGGAGGGAGGTGGACATCTGGAATAGAATATCTGCTTGGTCATTGTGGAGAACAGATGCTGGGCTCTCTAACCCTCAATCTTGAAGGAACTGGCTTCATACTTAAAGCTTCTGGTACTTAAAAAAAAAACCAAGAACATTAAATTCTGCTGCCACTTTCTGGGGAAGAACCATTTTCATTCTCAAATACCGGTTGGGAAATCAAAAACATAATTACTTGGAGGAAACTTATCTTCCCAAAGTCACGTGTCTCCAGAGTCAGGCTACATTTCCTACAAGACGGGGACTTTACTCAACGTTCAACCAAGAAGACCCATAAAATATTTTGGGGGAAGGATGAGTTACCAACTTCTGTGAGGTGCCACTTAAAAAGAGCTTAGGCTTCCCATGCAAGTCCTACCCATTGGCTGTGTTTACACAACATGCCAAACCATAAACCATGTGTCAACTCTCCACATTGCCACGTCATGGAATAATTAATTCATTATTATGAATTAATTACGGGATTGTTAGGAAACCTGACACCATGCTCTTTACACATTGACCAAACCACCAGTAATCACAGTGACTCAAATATGTTGGCCATTATAATTCACATGCTTGGTTGGGTTATCTCTACATGTTGAATAGGTCCTGATGGTTCCTGGGAACATTAAGGAACCTTCTAGAAAGGAATGTGGCTTTGGGAAGGGCAGGCCCACACGAAGTGTCCTAATGAATCATAAGAGTTGTAGAACTGTGAGATTGGAAGGGGCTACCAGGATCTTCTAAAGCCTTGTATGGGACAACTAGTTTAACGGAAGGTGGCCATCCAACCTCTTTTTAAAGCCTTCAGAGATAGACAACCCGGAGCTTCAGTTATTCCACTCTGTGTTACACATATTTTTACTGTAAGGAAAATTTTTCCTTCTACGTAGATGAAATTGTGGTACAATCCACAAATATATCAGCTATTTTCTGGTCCTTCTTCTTGTTGCAAATGGAAAATATCTCTATCTTCTCTCTGGCACCTGTTAGTTACCTGAACACCCCTCTCATGTCTTCTCTCTTTCTTATTTCCTCCAGGTAGAACATCCCAAGCCTAAATCCTGAGTAAGCAGTGATCTGGGGTTGGTGGGGGCGGTTGGGGAAGCAGGAGATAATCGGTCGCATGGACTCCACGTCGCCCTCAACTTCATGTACACCTTTCTTGTGTCACGTTTTATGTTCAGGTGATTTCCAAGTATGGAGGAGACCAAGAATAACCCCGCAAAGCTGAGCAGAACCAAACAGCCGGTGAAAACAGAATGGGGAGCCCATTATATGGTATTGACCTACTTCCAAGGAGACATTAATAGCATGGTGGATGAACATTTCTCCAGAGCTTTGAGTGTCACCAAAAACCCGCAGGACCTGAGTAGAGACAACGGTGTCAAAGATGGCCTTATTAACAATGGTGAGCTTTNCGTGCGTAAAAAAAACAAAAAACTTCCGTGTGACTCACGTCCTTTGTTCATTAACAGAAGTTCGACGCCGGGGGGGAAGCTAGGTAATAAAACGGGAGGGGGAACGGACGGACGGTGAAGGAGCTGAATTCTGATCTTTCGATAAATTTGCGTTTGGATTATTAACTCACTGGAAACACGTGGGGGAGCGCATTTGGAGGTGCGATCCCTGCTTTGTTCCCGGTGCTTTAACTGTTCAACTGGAGTTGTGTTTCGAGCATTTGTCGAGACCCCCGAGTGTACGAAGCCTGTATTTTTTTATACTGGATTGATTATAGGAGATAACTACGAATAAAATCGTTTTGAGATTCATTCCCGAAATTGTTTCTCAGATTTTTTTAAAACAAATTTTTTTGGGGGGTGGGGATGGGGGGTAGATACAAACCGCTCAAAAACGATTCTCTTTTTTTTTTCCTTTTTAAATCTTTGCCCAAATTTACTTGATTTGCGTGGTCTTCTTTCTAACCTGTTCAAAGAAGGAAGGGATTGTTCCAGCCATTTCAGGTACACTTCAATGGGGGAATCCCTGTGCTTTCGCCGCGTTCCCCGTATGCATGCAAGTGCATTGAATTAGATGCTTCACGCCGAGTTTGCTGTTTTAGCTGAATGATGGAGAACTTTAAATCAGGATCTCAGCCCAGCCGTTGCTCGAGATGGACGAGGACGCAAATGATTTTCTCTTGGCTCCCAATGTAACAAATTTAAAAGTGTAATTTCAAGTTTTTAGCTCTCTTTGTTGGGAAGAAAAGGAGGAGGTTGGAGCCTAAATTCAACTTGAAATTTCCCAAGGACACCGTTGACTGTTGAGCATCTCCTTGGAGCCTTTAGGCATTTGCGCCGATGGAAAAAAGATCCTGTGCTGAATAATCTTAATCTGAATAATTTTAAATAATCTGTGCTGTAGAATAAAGCTAAATGCTGTAAAACTGTACCTAGAATTTGTAGTCAAGTCATCTCTTGAAAATGCTTGTGTTGCCTTTTGAACTGTTCTGTCTTGAAGTTAACTTACCATTTACACCTGATATAAAACCCAGAGAAGTTTAGCACACTGAAAATGGGTAGTTGGAAATAAAACTCTTTTAAAAAGTTGCCATTTGTCCAAATGAAATATGTGGCAATGTTTTTTTAAATGCACAAGCCTGTCCTGGATTTTCTCTTCCTGTTGTAGGTTGCGATGTATGATGGCAACGAATGAGGTCAGTGAAACTTACACAAGACTTTACATAGGAATTAGTGCGGTAGTTCCGAATTAAAACATTTCTGGAATTTAAATGATTGTTCTATTACAGAACCTCCGTGGCCTTATTTATGGAGGAAAATTAATCACAGACTAGACCTAAGTAGTGTTCACAGGCCTTGAGGACACAAGGATCAAAACTCAAAATAAATACTTGTCATTTCCAACTTTATATTCTTTGTTCTAACTGCTTTCTTCCAGCTCATCTACATCTCCACACAAGGATCAAAACTCAAAATAAATACTTGTCATTTCCAACTTTATATTCTTTGTTCTAACTGCTTTCTTCCAGCTCGTCTACATCTCCAATCCATTTTGACCTGAATTTCTCTGGTTCTTGTTTGCAAATCTGTAATCGTCTTCAAATGGCGTAATTCCAGATTTTGAGTGCAAGTACAATTCATAAGAAGTGATAAAATATTTATTGGCTTTAACGTTTCAGAGACAGAATAATAACACTTGTGATCGTTGTCAAGGTTCATTTCTATCCTCGTTTTTATACAGATATANTCATCTATCATCTATCATCTATCATCTATCATCTATCATCTATCATCTATCATCTATCATCTATCATCTATCCATCCATCCATCCATCCATCCATTCATCCATCCATCCATCCATCCATCCATACAAGGACAGGACAGGATAGGACAGACAGACAGACAGTTAACTCAACCCATTTTAAGTTATTATATGGAATTGCCTTTTATAAATAAATAAGGAAATGATGTCTCCTGAGCTAATCCATCTTGTTTGTTTCCTAGAAGCTTGTTAGACTCTTGATAAACTTTTTAATTACAGTCTGTTATTTTTTTTTATGAAGAGTCTTACAAATAATACTGTATATGTGAAGCAGGTTCTCAACTTAGCTGGAATGGCACTTTTCATTCTTCTTTTCTTCTTATTTAAAATTAACGACATCTTATAAATGTAGCTAACTTGTCCTATTTGTTGTGGATTTGCTTTTTGCCATAGCTTGGCTTTGGATCCTTCCTAGGGATTATTGGCCTCCATCTGGTAGAGAATCGAAAGCAAATGGTAAGCAAATAATAAACTGTGTGATTTAAAAATCAGAACATTGATCTGGTACTCTGTTTTTCATTCTGTTTCTCTCAACATATCTCCGTAATTTTATAAGGATTCAAGTCATAGTCAATTTGTGTAATATATGCTATGGTAACAGTGTGACTAGAAAAGTACAAAATGGATAATGAAAGAAAGACTAAAATGAAGCACACAAGATAAGCACTACTCATTAAAATCTACTTTAGAGCTTAATTTTATTATTGTCTATTTTGTTCATGGTTCTTTTGCGAGGCATAAGTCTACAGTTCAACCAGATAACAGCATGTTCCGATTTACAATTCATCCAACCCTTTTCTCCTTGTTTGATCCCAGAATCTAACATGAAAAGGTACTCTGTTCCTCAGCTATTAACAGTCATAGCTGGGAGCCATTAATAGACAATTAAACTGTCTTAACTAGGTGTTTAGTCGTCTTCGTTATGAGGCATGACTTTATATGTCTGATTTCTTTTTAAAACTCAGTTTAAGCCCTTTCTTTATTTTGT